TTAAAAAAAAAAAAAATGTTACCTACGTCATTACCTCTTCTTTTTGGTCTGCTGTACAGCATCATGGGGCTCTGGTGATGCAGTGGTTAAAGTATTCAGCTGCTAACCAAAAGGTTGGCAGTTAGAACCCACCAGTCATTCCACAGGAGAAGGATGAGGCAGTCTGCTTCTGTAAAGATTTACAGCCTTGGAAACCCTCTGGGGCAATTCTACTCTGTCTCATAAGGTCACTATGAGTCAGAATCAACCCAATGGCAGTGGGTGTGTTTGGATTTGTACAACATCATAGCAATATGCAAGCCTCCACTAACATATAAGTGAACATTAGGTCTATCATCTGGGAATCAAACTAGATCTCCCATGGGAAGGTGAGAATTCTACCACCAAACCACCACTCCCCTACTTTCTCTATTGGTTCACTATAAATCAGGTCCAGTTTGGAGATTTGGGAAACAGATAAAGGTGATAGTTGACAGCAGTATCAATGTAATTAATGTTACTGAATTGTACATGTAAAAAATATTAAAATAGCAAATGGTGAAGTGCTTGACTACTGGCTGAAAGTTTGGTAATTCAAGTCCATCCTGAGACACGTCAGAAGTCAGGCCTGGCAATCTGCTTCTGAAAGGTCACAGCCTCAAAAACCATGTGGAGTAGTTCCACTCTGCCCACTTGGGGTCACCATGAGCCAGAATCAACAATTCCATGGCAGCCAACAACAACATATGTATATATACAGACACACACACATATATATGCTACAATAAAAAAAATAGTATCTAGGTCAACTGCCTTGTAGAATACTCTAATTTCCCACTCAAATGTAAGATTTTCATTGTCTTTCACAGGAACTTGTAGTCCAAGAAAGGCACTGCCATGAAATGTACCTCTTTCATCTGTGTACGGCCATCTTTAGAGATAGCGTGGGCAGCCATAAACTGCTGTTTCACCTTCTGCAGATTTTCTTCCATGATGGCATCCTGCAACAGGCCAAGTAGAACAACATTAAAGCCACTGGTATTCCAAAAATGATGTTTGGGTAGCAAACATTCATAATTCATAATCAGCATATAGGCTGATAATTATGCTCTTCTAACCTGGAAAGTAGGTCCACTGCTGAGGAAGAGGTAGTAGTGAGGGAGATTTCTTGAGCAACCAGACAAGCAGAATCCTGACTATGTAAGACTTATGGCTATTGAGTTCCTAAATTATGAGTGAAAAGAAGCTTAGAGACTACACTGTTGATAAAATGAATTTGAAAGTTTATATATATATATAATGGTTGTAACAAAAGACTTTATTGCAATTGACTTACAGGCTTCCGTCCCAAGAACTCAAAGATTGTGTGTTATTTTTAAGTGAAAAGTGCAACTCTTCTAAGCCCCCAGGTTATCATAGGTTCATTTTCTTAATCTCTTCCCTGTACTCTGACAAATAGTAAATTACCAGGGGAAAGTAATTAATGATGAAGCCACGGTAATTGTTGAGTTAGCAAAGATGTCTCAGCTCCCTTCCATGTACAATCCTTTCTGCATATTGAAGTGTTCATCAGTGGAAAGCAGCATTATTACAAAGAGAACCCAAAACAAAAACCGTAGCTATCAAGTTAATTCTGACTCATAGTGACCCTATAGGACAGAGTAGAACTGCCCCATAGGGTTTCCAAGTTTGTAAATCTTTGCTGAAGCAGACTGCCTCATCTTTCTCCCACGGAGCAGCTGGTGGGTTTGAACCACTGGTCATTTGGTTAGCATCCCAGTGTTTCAAGCATTGTATCATCAGAGCTCCTCGTTACAAGAAAGGTGACATATATAAAATATGGAGAATACATTTTGATACAGGGATTGAGAGGTGCAGCTAAATCCAACAGTGCCTGATTCCAAGATTTGTGATTCCATCAGTCATGTTAAATTCATTCTCCCTAATGTTATCACTCAATCCCTGATACCAGGCCCTTCAGCTGTGAGTTAGAAGTAAATTGGGAGTGAGGGGCTGTTGACCGACCACAGTTCTTGCTGGTGTTGGTGAGTGACTCTGGACTTCTGGGAGAACCTGTCAATGAACCATTCATATGTATTGTCTGTCAGACAATAGAGGCTTTCACAACCTTCTACTCCTGAGAGACAGATCTTCAGATGAAAATCTCAAATGCTGAAACATCAGCAGGAAAAGAATCAGTTTCATACTAAAATTGTTCATGTTTTCCTTCCAAAAATATCTTCTCTGCCTACGTTCTATCCCCCTTCTTGAACCCTCCATGCTTCTCTGAGACCAAGGATATGACGGTTCTCCTTCTGACATCAACAAGTGTTAGCATGGCTATGAAGAGCAGCAGGGCCTGACCAAAAGACATGGCTCTTTGCAGGCAGTGGCCGGTGGAAGGCTGCACCAACACAGCAATAGCAAGAGGTCCATCCAATCTGTCAACTAACACCATGGTGTGTCAGACTGGCTGCTTGAGCAGAGCAGTCTTGACTGTGTCTGTACCATCAGTAGTCCATGTGAGGTCTAAGAAACCATGGAGCTCACTGCATTTTATTCAAGGAGACAGACAGGGAAGACTTAAGCTTCTCACTGATGATTCTAAACCACACACACACACACACACACAAAGCCTGTGGCATTATTTTTATAGCCTGACTTTGGTTGTTAGTACTTAGAAGTCAGACTTTTGAGATTCCAAACTTTCTCACCTCCTTTAGCTTCTCTGGTGGTGTAATGCCTACAGCACTTGACTGCTAACCAGAAGGCTGGCAGTTCAAACCCCCCACCCACTCCTCGGAAGGAAGGTTGGGCAATCTACTTCCATAGTGATACTGTCTCAGAAACCCAAGGAGGGGTCGCTATAAGTCAGATCTGACTCAATGGCAGTGTTTTTTAGCTTCTGCAGTGATTTTCAAAAGTCTCTTCTTTAAAAAAGTTCAAATCTTTAGTTCACTGTTGTTTTGCAGGAGTCTTTTCCTGAGGTAGAATACCTAGATGACCCTTGTTGCTGCTGAAATGAGGGAAGAGAATTACTAGGAACAACAACAACAAAAACTACATTTAAGATGTCCAGCTACCCTTTATGCCTTTCACTCTGTTTAGGCTATAAGCTCTTGGGGAGACCTTGTTGTTGTTGTTGTTATGTGCCATCAAGTCAGACCCGACTCATAGCGAACCCTCCTTGGGTTTGCCTAGATGGTGCAAACCATTAACTTGCTCACTGCTAACTGAATGGCTGGTGCTTCAAGTTCACCCAGAGGCACTTCAGAAGAAAAGCCTGGTGATCTACTTCCAAAAAATCAGCCCTTGCTAACACGGTGGAGCACGGGGCATAGTTCTGCTCTGGCACACATAGGGTTGACAGGAGTCAGAATTGGCTTGCTATCAGCTAGGTAGTAAGCTGTTTGAGATTAGAGGTCACACCTTAACATTGACCATATAATGAGAATACCTGCAGACAGAGAGCTGATCCTGGTTCTAGAGCTAACTCTTCTACCACCTGGCTTGAACAGGACACTTCTCATCTTGTTTTTTTTTTTTTTTTCTTTGTTCTTTTCTGTAATATAACCCAACCCAACCTACTTCTATCAAGTCAGTCTGATTCACAGGGACCCTATAGAACAGAGTAGTACTGCTGCATAGAGTTTCCAAAGTTGTAAATCTTTGCAGAAGCAGACTGCTTCATTGTTCTCCTGTGGAGTGGCTCAGGGGTTTGAATCACCACCAAACTTTTGGTTAGCAGCCAAACGCCTTAACCACTGCACCACCACAGCTCCTTTCTGTAATAAAAGAAGGGCTTTGATCATTTCAAAACCATCTTTCTGCAATTTTCTTCTCTCTACTACAGCTCTTGAATCTGTGTGTAGCATTTATTTCATTCGTAAACCAAAAAAAAAAAAAAAAACCCAAACTCACTGCCATCAAGTCAGATCCAACTCATAGTGACTCCTCCTTGGGTTTCTGAGGCTATATTCCTATAGAAGTAGATTGCCCAACCTTCCTTCCTAGGAGAGGCTGGTGGGTTAGTTTTAATAATTCATTCCACAAACATTTGTTGAGTACTGACTGTGTGTCAGATGGTCTTCTGGGCTCTGGGGACATAATGGGGCTATGAGGACCTGTTCTTTGCCTTCTATCACAGGCTGGTGGAAGATGTGCTTTGTCCTGACTTCCTTTCCATTAAGTCCTATCCCTGATAGCCTCCAAAAGACACAGGAACAAAATATTGTTGTTATGTGCCGTCAAGTTGGACCCGACTCATAGCGACCCCTCCTTGGGTTTCCGAGGCAGTATCACTATGGAAGTAGATTGCCCCATCTTCCTTCCAAGGAATGGTTGGTGGGTTTGAACCGCCAGCCTTCTGGTTAGCAGTCAAGTGCCTTAGGCACTATGCTACCAGAGCTCCCCAGGAACAAAATGGAGTTGATAAATGTGCTGAGGGGAACTAACAGCTACCTACATTTAATTCACAAAAGGAGGAAAGAAGGGAAGGAAAATAAACATTCAGGGAGTGTCAGCCATGGAATGGTTGCTAAGTCAGAGTGTTTCACAATTGTGATTTCACTGGTTCTTGACAACGGCCCTGGACTATAGACATAGTTCGTGAAGCAGCTGGCTTCTCTGATCTGCTAGCCTTTTCCTCTGAGGCCTTTTTTTTTTTTTTGTTATCTTACGTGTTCCATCCTCTTACATGAAAATTCCCATTTACAACTTTCCATCACTGGTCAGACAAATTTCTCCTCCAGTGACAATGTGTCCTCGGATTACAAGACTGGACCTGACTTGGATAGATGTCATCCATGCCCTTGTCCTCTTAGTCAGCCATCTCTTCAGGTGAGCTTTTGCATATGACAAATATTTCTCAGAGAGAGGAAAAATCTAATAGATGAGTATTGCAAACTTTCTACCTCTTAAGACAGCATATGAAATGAGGAATACTCAAATTCTTATTAATTTTATATATTGCTGCACTGTAAATCAAGGTGTGTATTTCCTTCTGATCAGTCTTGGTGATTTGGGGTCAAAAGAGTAAAGGAGAAAAGAATCAGGAAATGTTAGGCACCCCTTTTCTAAGGATCTAAGTCCTTGCCCTTCTCTGATAAGGAAACAGGTCAGAGACGGGTGAAGTGCCATGCATCTGGCTGTTGTTGTTTGTTGCTGTGAGTCAGCTCTGACTCATGGTGACCTTATGTATAACAGAACAAAACATTGTCTGGTCTGTGCCATAATCCCATAGGATTTACATAAGGCTACCTTAAAGAGTTATGGGCTGGTGGTAGAACAAGACTGAAACCAATACTTTTGAAGTGGAGAGTGCTTTGATGTGGGGTGCACTTTCCACTCCATCTTGCTGTTGCCACAAATGAGGCAGATAGCATTGAGTAGAATTGTTAAAGCCCAACATCAAACGATTTATAAATGAGAAATGGTTCAAACAAAAGGCAAGGAGGATTGGTGATTGCTCTGGGTTTCCTTTAGGATAGGTTCTGGCATTTGGTTAGATAACCCAAAAGAATAGGATGGTTTAAATATTATGAGGCCCTGAAGATTTGAACACCAATTCTTGTAAAGTCAAAGAATGCCTTGGCCAACAAGGACAGTTATCCTAGGGCAGTCCTGGGGCATTATTACCAGGATCTTGGACCCTGACATAGTCTTACTATTTCCGGAGGTGGGTAGACAGCAACCATTTGATGGGTGGGAGTCAAGACAGTGAGGTAGAAAAGATGGGCTGAGCTTAGGTGATTTAAGTGATTGGATCCCCTAGTTTTCTATGCTTTAGTGCCTCTGAAGATAGGTTTTGGCAATCTGCTTCCAAAAGGTCATAGTCTTGAAAACCCCATGGAGTGCAGTTCTACTCTGTATACATGGAATTGCCATGAATCAGAATTGACTTGATGGCAACCGATTTTTTTTTTTTTAGGGTTGATGTGGATACTGGAAATCTAGGCAATCCCCAATTTCATGGAAGTGAATTGTGTGTGCCTCTTCCCCG